TAAAAATTAAGGTTTTAAGAGATTATATATATATATATTTTTTAAGTAACAATACAGAGATATTTATGGTAATTTTGTTTTATGTCCACTAAATTCTTCCCCCTAAAATGTAATGAAAATGTGTAAGATTAATAGTAAAAGTACATTTTGAATTAAACCTACTGAAGAGAACCATTTGTAAGAAAGAACAGTTGAACCATTAGAATATCCAAAGCATTTTTTACTGTGTTAAATTAATTTACGTATCAATGATAGTTGAATCACTGAATTCTAATTATTTCATTAACAAAGATTACTGTAGTAGGGTTTTTATTTCAACATCATTTTCAAATCCTCCTTAATTATACTGACAATTACTAACCAAAGAAATAGCTATTGAATCTAATACAATTTAGTTATCTTTCTTACATAAAACAAATAGATGGTGTACGTAATGACCTAATTTATTCCATGAAACATTTCATCAGATACGAGTTAACTTTATCAAACAAATTACAAAATCTCTTCTAAGTATTAATTCAATTTTTTTAATTTTCAAAGTTGTCAGTAGGCTAAGGTGTCATTCACTGTCACAAATATCTTTTAAATTAAATATTTCCTATGAAAGGTCATGAGAAACAAATAAGGTAGAAGCGCTGGAAGTGTATAGGACACACATTGAGTAAAGCACGCAAATACGTCACAAGACAAGCCCTCACATGAAATTCTCAAGACCAAAGGAAAAGAGGAAGACCAAAGAACACATTACGCCAAGAAATGAAGATAGACATGAGAAAAATGAACAAGAATTAGATGGAACTAGAAAAGAAGGCCCAGGACAGAGTAGGTTGGAGAATGCTGGTCAGCGGCCTATGCTCCATTAGGAGTAACAAGCGTAAGTAAGTAAGTAAGTAAGTATGAAAGGTCATGTTTTATAAACTTCAAGTAATTTGTATTTACATGAGTTGCTTTTGTCAACACAACATATCTAAATAACGTCATATCTTAAAATTTTCACCTGTATTACATAAACCTAAAAAAATGATCGCTAAACAATGAGTGATCGATTTTATGTTTTTCTTGCCTTTAATGTTGATTGAACTCTATCTACTATTTTCGATTGTGATCATTAATCTAAGTGACTTCAAATAGTGTTCACTGTTTTAATGCTATGCGCTTGAAGATATTTAGTAGAAAACCTTGGGAATAGGTTTTGCGCTAGATTCCTTTAGCCTCCAGATATACCTTAATGAAGAGTGGTAACTAGTAATTAACGTAGGTTTGGATTTCCCTTCTGATTGCTTATAGCTACTCAATATATATTTATATAAATAGCTTCCGAATGTTAATAATTCATAACGAATGCAGAGTAGGTTAACTATTCATTGATCTGACGCTCAAATGTTGATTATTTACACACTAAGCTGTATTCAAAGTGAACATGATCGAAATAAATTTATTAATATAAACTTAGCGTATATTTCTAAAGTGTTTAGAATGTTTTGCTTCAAATGCTAAATTGATCTAATTGACTAATTTATTTAATACACATTGAATAAAACTTGTATAATGAATTGTGTTAATATATTATACTTAAACTTTAAGCTATTTTTAGCAAGTACGTTATCTAAAATATTTGAACTAGTTTATATTTCTCAAGTGAAACTCATCAGTATGACCTTCAACAAAGAATCATCTGTAAGATGTCTAAAAACTAAAGATTTCTTCAATTAATCACCTTATAGACACAAATTTAGACAGTACTACTTTCTTTATAAACTGTAGAAAAGAGATGAATTTTCACCTTAGTATTACAATAACTTATATCATATCTAATGACTAGTCATATTTACTAATTATTTGGATAATATTATTACAATATAAGATTCATTAGTATTTATGATTAAGGGTTCTTATTGTATTAAAGGATATAGAAATATCCTGAATCTATTCTTCCTATATTACATCAGTATTAATTAATCTGATATATAAAAAAAACACAGCCAAAACAGTGTTTTGTTTTAAATACCATAGAAATAAACCATGATTGATTTTCTTTTTAAAATAAAAATATCTGTAGAAAACAGGTTAAATCATTGATCTTCAACATTTAACAAGGTATTTTGTTTTCTCTCAAGTATATATGAGAAACTTTATGGACATAAATAATGTGATTGTAATCTTGTAGAGGTTAATTTCTTCTATAACTGACTCCAATAAATAGTATCCCATTAACTGAGTATTTAATGCAGGCTCAATCTCTTAGTAGAATTATGGATTTACTCGATTTTATTCAAATAGCCTGAACATCAGTTATAGAGATAATTTATTGTTAAAGATTAGTAAAATCCGCAAGCGTGCAGGAAGCAAACACACAGAGAAAACAAGAGTGTGTGTGTGTGTGTGTGTTAAAAATCCATATATATTAATGAGTGTTAATCAAGTATGGATAAATTATTGATTGTCTGTATATTACAACCAATGGGAGAATAGATTAAAGATTGATGTACAACATGTGCTCAATCAGACTCACACAGAAAATTACATAGTGAGCAGATAAATAATACAGTAGTTGAATGGGCTTACTACAATCTTCATTTTTTATGAATAATGATAGCCAAAGATACTTATATAAGTTGATATATTATGTTTTTTGATAATGTTTGGGTAGAACTCTAAGATGATTCATGGAGTTTTTAGGATTGTTTAAAGAAATAACTTGTTAAAAAGATGTCTTTTCAATAATAACAAGTAATGACAGTCTATCTAATTATTTTAATGAAAACAATGAACGTATGAGATTCATTGTCGGAATAACTACTAAGGAACCGAAACTAAGTAAATAGTCTGATTGTATGATCCTAACCAGATATTAATTAGAGGGTCAACTGATTCAACTTACTACTGAGAACTTGAGAAAAATGCTTGAAATAATGATAACTGTTATGTGGCTTATTTATTAATATAAATTCGATGTATTCAAAATGGGTGAAATATATGTACTCTAAATATTTGTAAAATAAATTTTTAGTGACCTTGGTTCGCGTACTTCTTAAACAGACCACCTTATACAATGACAGTTGATTGGTATTTCATTCAGAAATCACTGACCACGTTTTTATACAATCAATAATCTTAATATAGTACTATTTGTGAAAAAAACCGTAAAAATAAAATATATATTTCAAAATATCTTTGTAATCTGAAAGAACACAGTATGCACATATGCTTATAAAAGACTGATCAATTTCAGTCCTAAACAACAATGGGAAGATAACAAGCAAACAACACTAAGTGAATTTGGTATATTATTCACTATTATTCTACGTAATACTAACTTATTTTCACTTATTTCAGTCAATGTATCTTAGTAAATAACAATTAAGCAGTGAAATATATCATTTGTCTGAACAAATTAATCAATTTAACATGATGCGTTTCGATACACTCTCAAGGATTACCTCATCAGATAAGTGAATTTTATTGTTTACGGTACAAAAATCAATAGATTATTCAAAATAGCAAAGACTTATAACTCAGATAAATGGTTTTGATAGAGTTTCGTTCTTTAAGATGGTTAGTTCAATCGTGATTCTCTAGATTATTGTTCTGAGGTAACGGAAAGATCGGTTTTGGAACTAAATAAAAGTTTTAGCCAACTTAGTTATGAAAGTGTTTAATTGAGTATAATTTTCATTATGACTCTGTGTTATTGGATAATACAAATAATTACTATGTGATTTTACAAACTTCAGTCATTTAAATCACCATCCGAATATCCTTAAAAATGATTTTTACAATAAATTTACAATTCGTATTGAAATTCATCCATTGAAAGCTACCATAATAATATATTTTTCCGTTTGTTGTTAATTGTAGGATTCGGTCCGGAATGATTAATAATACTAATTTTCTCATTTATATAGCAAGTAGATTTTATTTTCGAAACAGTGAAACATATTGACTGTTTATTTTTATAGGAAAAGCTTCCAACTCATATCCACAATCTTGATGAAAATAAATTATTACAACAGTTTAATATGCGTATGTTAAAAACTTACTTACGCTTGTTACCCCTCGTAGAGGAGAACAGACAGACCGCCAGGACTCTCCATCCAATCGTGTCTTGCACAATCTTTTCCACTTCTTTTCAGTTGCTATTCATTCTTTTCATGTCTGCTTCCAAGTCCCGATATAGTGTGTTCTTTGACCTTCCTCTTTTTCGTTTTCCTTCACGATCCCAACTTAGTGCTTGCCTCATGATGCAGTTTGGTGATTTCCGTAATGTATGTCCAATCCATTTTCAACATATTTTTCTTATTTCTCCTCCAGATGGAAGCTGGTTTGCTCTCTCCCACAGTAGGCTGCTGCTGATTACATCCGGCCAACATCGGACATTGAGTATGTTGCGTAGACAATTGTTTGGGCACGAATATATTGTTTCATGATGGTTGTAATAGTTCTACAAGTTTCCGCCAGTAGCTTTGTTAGGATTACTGCCGTTCCGGAGCCCGGGTAAGGGAGAACGGTTTGGTATGAGTTCAGTAACCCCATCCTTTAGAAAACAATCTTGCTAAAGAAGCGTATATTAATAATGGACTTTTAACTAGTCGGTGTTACTTTTATGACCATTTGTGCCTTCTCAATGCTATTATTAATGACCATCATTTAACTGATGTTTTAATATTCTTATAACACACATATGTTGGTATACAGTTGCGATAAAAAGCTATTATTATTATTAGCGTCTTATCGGAAATGCCTACTTTTCTAAAACGAACTACAAAATATCACTCGCTTTTATCTTCCCACAAAAAATGCGTCGTATAGACTTATCTCAGTTTTATACAACACCATTGAAATATGAAGATAAACAATATGAAAGATTTCACAGGTAGAAATCATGAGTCAGGTGAAGCTAGACCACCATTGAAAACCTGGAAGCACTGGACGGCCGTTTCGTCCTAGTATGGGACTCCTCAGCATATGAAAAGATGCCAAATATAATAAAAAGAAATTAGTTAGAAATTTAACAATATTGCTTTATTTTATTTTCAAAACAATTGATTGCCTACTACTAAATATTCAGTAGTATGTGTATAATTTGTGTTTTGTTACTTCGGTGCATATTGATGTATTAATATGATTCAACTGCATGCACAATTTGTTTTTACAGCCTTAGGCAAAGTTTCCGTGACCAGCTGATCTTTATGATCTTTATAAAGTATTGTAAATGGTATTGTTTCGTTGGCAGCACAACATGGCATTGAATTATAGATAGCTTCTCGTTCCACAGAACCCAGTCCAGAAAAATAACGATTCATTAGAATACTGTGAGCATTATCTGTCGGCATGTAAAGTCCTGTAAACCAAATGAAAAAGGAAATATGTTCGTTTCAAATATCTTATCACTAAATGATAGTCCGTAATGCTACGTTTAATGTTGATATAATCATGTGAAGTTAAATAAAATAATTAACATAATAACACGTTATTATTCGTAAGAATCTGTATTTTGCAGTTGCTGACGTTAAGTAATGAGAAACACGTCAATCTTGCCGGATACAACTATCTTATAATAAAACAAAACTTATAATCGTGGATCATATCGAATCATCCACTCTTGTGTGCATGTTATCTACAATGGTTGATTAAAATTCAACCAAAAAACAAAATCCACTACTGCAACTATAAATAAGTATCGTAACTAGTGAAAACGTTGAAGTTTGTTGTAACTTAATAGCTTGGTAGATCATGCTTTCACCTTTGAAAAGTTTACGTAATGGGTTTCAGTCCAATTTTGTGTATTCAATTACTTGTAGATGTTGAGTTCACATCAGGACAAAATTAAAGTCTTGAATTTCGTTTCTAGCAGCTGTTCGAACACTTGAAGAATAGATAATAACCTATACGAATATTCGTCAAGATTAAAACGAATAATTTGGCAAAAATTGGGCGCCGAGTATAGAGAAGTCATTATATGTGAGAATTATATTTGGAATAATCTCAGCGATTGAAATTTAAATAATTCCAACGTTTCGTCCAGACAAAGTAGCTGGACGAAACGTTGGAATTATTTAAATTTCAATCGCTGAGATTATTCCAAATATAATTTTCACACATAATAGATAATAACCGTTTTAAAAAAATGTAGTTACCATGTTTCAACAATTTAATGTATACATAACTTGTAGACCTTCAAAATGATATGTTAAAATCAAGTCTGAAAGCCAATGTTTTGAACTGCAAATAGACAAAACCCCTAGGTGAATTATTATATGGAGTCCTTAGTAATCATCTTATTTCAGTTACCTTTAGTTATCCTATTGAACATAAGGAGAGGTATGTATCTGTGTTTTCACATAAAACCACTACTAAATATATAAAACAATTTCGAACATTTCAATCAACAGTCAAAACAATTAACACCCAACAAGCATTGAGTACTAGATACTCAGTCTACAAAATACCCTTACAATTAAAAATAGTATAAATCCATAAATTTCTAATTACCAAGGTCAAGGTAACAATGAATGACAACCATTGATTTTATTATATGTCAACTTTTTTTAAATATATTCAATATGAAGTCTATTTTTAGTGGATTAACACTGTTAACTGTCTTTCGAACTGGCCATCTTTTTATTAGACAATAATTGACAAGTAGAAGATAAAATAATATATCTAAATATTTATCTGAGTCTTCTATCTTCTACAAACTTAATCGTGTATTTTTAGCATAGAATATACAAAAATTATTTTTTTATTTGAACACATAAATATTGGTACAAAAGGGTTTCGAATACATATACGCCACATAAATCATTCGATTTGTGTGAGGGCTAGGATACTGTCTGGGTGCCCAGACCGAAGCAGGTGGTTTTCTTAGGAGACCACAACTCGAGCCTTCAACTTAAAGGTCTGATCCGCAAGGCAATGAATCGACGTCATGAGATGCAGTCCCATGGTAGACGATGACCAATGATTGGCTCGTACGCCATTTTTCCCATCAGGATCCTGGTGTCTACGTGCACCACGGGTTTGGAACCAGGGTTTTACAACTCCCCTAGGTGAACTCTCTGTGTCTGCCAACCCGGTTAGAGCGCTGGACATTCGATTTTTATCGTCTGAATTTCGTGAACAACAGTAATGCCGCAAGAAGGCAGTGAGTAGGACTTCTCTGGCAGTGGTTCTGTGCACATGGCCATGTGAGGGCATCTCTAGAAGTAGAGCGGACTCTTCTCACCCTCGGCTGTATCAGGGCATTTAAGGGCAAAAACTAGCAATATACTTTTGATAGTTTTTAATGTCAATCTGTTGTATAAATTGCTTGTTCCAATAACTAAACTAAACGGAAAAAACTGATACCATTTCAATTCACTGAGACTGGAAACCACATTCCAATTTGTACAAATCACTATCCGTTGTAAAAAGAAATTAATAAAATCTTTTCTGGGACTTTCGAGCCACGCTAAAGTGATCTTGAGAGTCTCTACCTACTTACTATTGCTAAACGAGTGTTATAAAACAGTGTGAAGAATAAAGATTATGATTCACAGTTGATGGTTAGGGTTAAGAATTAGATTTACGGTTTTTCATCACGAATTGACATCACCTAATATCCCAAGCTACTATTTTGTCAAATGACTGGATGAATTCCGTGCCAAATTTCAAGATCTGTTATTCTAAATCTGATTGGTTCGTCCATTCTTTATAGTCGTCGCCCAATTTATTTTTTATTGTTCGCATTATAATTTGTATTCTTCAATGTGTCTTTCACTTGTGTAGTAACTAAAAGACATTAAAAGTATTTAATGCAACATTTCGTCATTAGAATTCATGAATGCCCACTGTTTTCTATTCATTATGTTTAAAGAAACAAAAGAAAACAAACTGTCTAAATTTAGTCTGATGACATAAATAGGTGTACACAAGAATGTAATATCATTTCAATATTTTAAATAGATTATTTGTATATAGATGAAAAATTGCATATCATTTCATTCAATATTTTACTATACCTCACTATTTTACTAATAAACAAGTACAATCATAATTCTAAAATAGAAAAATAGTAAAGTACTAATCAGTTATATTATCTTACATGGTCATTTCTTTTTAAGAAAATCAATCTTTATTGATAATCAATAATTGGGAAATAATACTGAAAGACTTATATCGATAAATAGATTAAAACCAATGGAATAAGTTTCTTTATTTATAAAATTTAGAATATAATTACATAAGAATGAATATTTAATGATTTATTGATTAGAAGTCAGATACAATATAAGATCATTCTATATTGATAACTGGAAATTATAATCTGGATCAAATGATTTGATCATGATAATTAATATTGGTAAATCAAGTTGTTCAATATAAGCAAAAATGGATAATAGCTAGCAGTAGAATACAGGACCCGTGTTTTGTCCTATTTGGGATTCGTCAACTGGACGTACTTACATGTCATAGTTGATGTTCACTCTTGGACTCGAACCCAGTACTGTTTACTTCAAACCCTATCATGATACCCATTTAACTACTGAGTCCTGATAACCACTTGCTTGTGCAATGGGATAAAGTTTTAAATTCAATTAGTATTATTTAATTGAATCCTCCCATTGATATGCCAATAAGAAACTGATCAATTGCAATTCTAAATAATAATGGGGAAATCCAAGTAAACAATACGAAATGAATTCAAACTGTTTAATAATTAAATAATTTTTTTTAAATATTCAGATAAAATTTTAAGTTTGAATATTATCTGAGGCTATAGTTTCACTTTACTCTCAGCAGATTGCGAAACGTTTAATATATTTGTTATATATAGAAATACCTTTTTATATTCATTGATTCTTGACATTTAATAAATAAACAACATATTCGTATCAGAAGGGGTTTTATAAAGATTGTAGTAATTTCAACAGTTGAGATCATGAGTCAACTGAAGCTAGACTACCATGAAAAACCTGGAAACACTGGACGGCCGTTTCGTCTTATTGTGGGACTCCTCAGTAGTGCGCATCCACGACCTCGCCCCTTGCGCAATTCGAACCCAGGACCTATAACAGAAAGAAACGGCTGTCCACTGCTCCCAGGTTTTCCATGGTAGTCTAGATTCAATCGACTCATGATCTCAATTGTTGAAACAACATTTTCATTAAGTATAAAGTTAATTTATTGTTATCTTATATAATAATAATGAAAATAATAAATAACTTACCAATACATCTACCATGACACATATTTATTGGTAAATGATGTGGAAATATAATAAATCTTAATTTATCATTTTGATCCATTTGCATTTTATTTAATGTATAACGAAATAAACAACATTTTGTTTCATATTTATTTTTATCTAAAAAACTTGGACATGATTGTGTTATATGTTGTATTGATGATTTAGTAGATTCAATTAAAAATGATCGTTGTATTAAACGTTTTTTTAATAAATATTGATTTTCTAATTGTATAATGCTTAATGTTTTCATTTCTAATATAATTTGTGTATTATCACTTAATATATTATCAATATTATTATTATTATTAGATTTTATTATATTTCTTTTAATCAATATAGTTTTATATTGATTATTGAATTTTTTAATTAGATCATCGTGTTCATTTATATCATCATAATTATTATTATTCTCATTTGTAAAATTAAGATCATAATCATGATCATTTATAAAATTAAGATTATTATTATCATTATTATTATTTTCATTCAAATTTTGTTCTATTTCATATTGATTATTCAATGGTATATTATTGATTGTATCATTTTTATTGATTATCATTGATTTCCATAGAAATTCATTGGATAAATCAATATAATTCAAATCGATATCATCTATATTATGATTGATATCATTTCTATTAATTAATGTCATTATTATTGAATCAATTAAATCATATTTAGAATATTGTAATTGTTTAATCATTAAACTAATATCCCATATCACTTGACGATGGGTTGATTTGATATTTAAATATTCTATATTCGTTTTTATTAATTTATTATTTAAATGAATATAAAAATGTTCATAGATTTGATGGTTTGAATTCATAAGATAAACATATAATATTAATTGATTTGGATTAATCCATGAATGTATATATGTTGATAAGGTGGCTAAATGAATTTTATGATTTAAATTCATTAATGATGGTTGAATAATAAAACAAGATTTTAATTGTTTAATAATATTGAGTTCACATGGAACTAAATAAGAAAATATAAAAAAGAAAAAAGAAAAAAAGAACATTTATTATATTCATTAAAGTGTAAGTTTTTTGTTTTATTTTTTTTAATTTCAATGGTTATTAAGTTCATGGTCTAGTGTTCAAGTGCTCACCCGCGAAACCAGTAGGTCCTGGGTTCGAATCTCGCAGGGGACGAGGTCGTAGATGCGCACTGCTGAGGAGTCCCACAACAGGACGAAATGGACGTCTAGTGTTTCCAGGTTTTTCATGGTGGTCTAACTTCAACTGACCCATGATCTTAACCATTGAAATTATGATACTATCCACAAAACCCATCTGATATTTTTTAATGTTGATTTCTTTTTAATGATTGACAAGAAATGATAAAAATATATGATTTTAAAACTATTGTAAGAGACAATATATAGAGTATGTTCACGTTTTTAGATAATACATAATACTGTCTAACTTTGGATAGTAAGATGCACTTATGACTCTATCAGGGATAGGATAGAGAATCTTTCGAAATCACAACGAGTATGATACATTTAGAACTAAAACTAAGACATGAATGTTATTAGCCTTCCTTTGATTTTCTATAGTTATTTAATAGAAGTTTATTAATGATATGTATTATTTTTTAGATTGCCATTTGATAACTATATTATTTTATTACAAAATATACGTATTAAAAGAGGCAACGATCCTTGTTTTTAACACGACAGATTTAATCAACCACAGTACAATATCATGAACTGATATTTATAACAAACATTTCAACAATTCTGAGTAATAGTCTAATATCATATATACCCGAAAGTATATGCTTTTATTTCACATTAGAATAACACCACTGTTTATATATGCATCTTAATATCAAAAATATTCTTCTCTTGACGTTGTAAATTTAAATATTCTTAACAAGACATTTTCTAATACAGGATGAATGAGCGGTCAAATTAGTTCACTTCGCCTTTCAACAAATTAACTCTTTAAAACGTCATCGGCTCATTAAAATGTTTGTTCTTAGAATAAGAATTTTCGTCAGACTATATATGTAGGTAATGGTTTTTCTTAAAATGATTATATATATATATTATATATATATATCCTTACTGACATATTCTAAATAGAATTATTTGAAAAAAGAAGATATAACTGATAATATCAGTGATAATGTCAAATGATGGAGTTTTGTTCTCTGAGCTGGATGGTTCTATCTGAAGTTTGCGCTGATGATGTCGTTCAGAAGAACGATGGAAGCTCCACGATTAAACCATCTAGCTCAAAGAACAAAACTCCATCAAAATCATCCACCTGAGCTACAAATCTCCACCATCTTAAGATAATGTCTAATACTCTTTGTGAAATCAGTTTTTAAACAAACATTATCATTATTTTCATAAAATGTTATCTTTTTCGATTTAATTAATTAATTATCCAACGTCCTATTGTACATTGGTGTAACATTGATTTCAATCGTTTCATTTTGTACACATTTTTTCACTGCAATTTTACATTTCCATTAATTCTAGATCAATTCTTGTATGGAATTGTTTTTTTTCATTGGTGAGTTTCATATCTATATACTCAATTGTATATAAATAATTTAAGATAATGGTAGTTTTTTTATAGTAAATAATCTATGTTTGTGTTTAATTTCATCGGAAGAGTACTGTAATGGCACATATATATTTATGTTAAATTTATAATCTTCTACCTAGATCACATGGAGTCTGTTAGTTCTATAAATTTTCTGATTAAAAACCTGCAAAATTCAATGATTCTTGTAAGATATGATACGAAACTTAATAATGTGAAAAAAGGAATCTTAGGTATAATGAAAAAATATGAACAACAACTATATTTTATTGGCTTGAATTTGATTGCAGTTCAGTCAAATGATAATCACTATCATTGTCTAGATTTTATGCAAAAAATAAGCTTAATCATACGTGTTTCAGTATTCTTCTGTATAATAGAATGATGTATAATGGATAGAAACTGGTCTCATTCAATTAGAGCTTAAATTCTGTCTAAAAAAATTCCATAAAATTATACATCATTACTTTTAATAGTTTAACCTTAAATTTAGGAAAATTATCAAGTAAATTAACTAGTTATATAGTCACATATAGTAGATAAAGTGATTTTAATAGTCAACAGGTAACTTTGAATGTAAACGTTTTCTTGGTTATTAGTTATCAATCAAATATACAACTAGTCTTGTGCAAATTGATACTCCTCATAAAAATTCGAATCTCTATTATTCAGCTTCATAGTTTGAGACATTATCACGAAGGTATTTACCTTCAACTCAATGTATTCAATAAAATCTTTGTGCTCATGAAATGTTTGAATACAAATATTATATTTCTATTATGTACAGTATTTTGTAAGTAAACGGTTAAAAATTAATAAAACTTTGAATTCCAGTAGAACAGTTCAAAATTTAATTATAATTTAAATTCATCTATTAATCCCCAAAAAAAAATCATTTTTCCCATTGAAACATCATTCATAAAAAATAACAAAAAAAGGAAATAAAAGTTGTAAAATTAAATTTTATTGAATATTTTAATAAAAATGGTGGCGTTGGGCGTCATGCTTAAGCAAAAGTCTGGAAAACAATTCAGTGTAGATTACCTAAAAAGCCTGTTCAGACGCTACTTTGAATTCTGCACAATGTATTCAACAATGGTGTGTACAAAGTGATATGATGAGTCTTGTTCAAGATTACTTCCGTTTCGATTCAATATAATGATTACTCAATGTAGTATTTGTTTTCTTTTCTCGTATGATATTTTATTCTGTATAATATGCGATATTCTTGTATCCCATTGACATGAACTATGCTCAGTATGTGATTTGTTATAACTCTAAGTATTTTTCATATATGTGATTCTATCCTAATTATTAATCAAAATGGGTGTACAATCAATATATAAATGAGTGTATTTTCGACTAGAGTCGTCGTCGTCATAGTGTTTTGGGTTCATAAATCACCACTTATACCAGTCATTGTGTTCTTACTCTCATGTCGCGGGAATTGCAGAAGTCCCTTGTTCCGATTATAAGTGATAAGCGTTTCTGACATAACAATCAGCGACGATCAGATACAAAAAGTAGCATTAAAAGAGCCAAGACAATAAGCATTCAAACGACAAGTTATAACACAAAGATCAATCAAACACTTAAAATGCAATGTCGTACTTATCATACCCATGGTTGTATTAATCGTTATATATATTCAATATACCATATAGAAATCATGATTTCTACAAAAGATGATATTATCTCTAGAATTTCTGTATCTATACAATAATTAATAAAGGAAAAAGAAAACTTACCTATACGAAGAAATACTATTGATTTTTGTAAATCATGATAAACATCTTTTGATATTTTACCATATTCATAATCATGTAAAAATTGTTCATTATTCATAAAATTAATCCAATTTTCAACAATATTTGGTATTGTTTTACGTATATCAATTAATTCATATATTGTCATATTTTTTGGTATCCCTTTTAAGGTTGATAATACTTTCAGTAATTCAGAATCACGTAATAATATTTCATTAAAATTTAATGTCATTACTTGTTTATTTAAATGGAATAAATAAAGTAAAATTATTGTAAAAGATAAGAGTTTATAATAATTATGTAATATTAATTGTAATTTAAACCGCATTGTATTTATTATTATTATTATTATTAATAATAATAGTAATAGTAATGATAATAATAGTAATAATTAAATTCGTATTTATTAGTATGAATATGAATGTTAACTTATATTGTCTTCGTTTTTTTCTCTTTTTTTCTTTTTTCGTTTTGTTTTTCTTCTTCTTCTTTATATTTGTAAATGTTCAATTGTAAAATAATTAAAATTCCATAAGATGGAATTTATTAAATTGATTGAAAAAGAATACATTTAAATATTTTGAGCATACTATGGTTTAGTGACTAGTGTATTGAATATAATGAATATATATATATATATATAAGCATAAATAATATATGCCTTCAGTTAGGAATGGTATATATCAGGTTAATACATTGAGAGTTTTAACCAACTAATTATTCATTCATGTACTTATATATATATATATATATATATTTAATTGGCTTATGTAACATTTACTCATTTCTTTTTTGTTACTCAGACAGTTATGTAACATTATTCTCATTTTATCAATTATAATATTCATTTCTCTTATTATATCCGTTACAGGCAACAAACAAACAAGTCGTTTGTTTTTTGTATTGTTTCTTTTTTTTAAGTGGGGGAGAGAGAGAGTGATAGAGAGGGATAGTCATAACAAAAACGATAAAACAGAAAAAAACAAAAATATATTAGTATGAATAATAATAATAATAGTGATAACGGTTCTACTTAGCCAACCAAATTTCAATTGTCCAGAAATATACTTACAATACAACACTATTTGTACTATAAAATAATAAATAATAAATATCAACTAAATGATAAAGGACGAATAAATAAACGAGTAAATGAGGAAATAATAATAATAATAATAGGATAATTTGTTGTTATTCTATTTTCCTCTCATCCCTAACAGAACGACGAACATATATTGTATGTTGTTTCAACTTTTACTTAATAATGCAACTTATTATAACAAATATATATATATATATATATGTCCTTATGTGAATGTTTATGTATTTTTGTCACTATGACTGAAATTGAGCAATAATAAGATGAAGTACATTAAATTTATCACCTCGTATTATTAATACAGATATATTATATATCTTTCATTTAACTTTACTCTCTTCCTACAACCAAACACTTATATACCTATATATATATATACAGTCACACTCTTACATATATACATACATATACAATAGAACTTTAAAAGTTAGTAACGAAAACAGAGAGTGAAAAAAAGGACGACTATCATTAATGGTTTAAAAAGTTGTTTTTTTCCTCTATTTTTTCAAAAAAAACTTTAAATTTAGAAATAAGCGCACAATATGTATATTATTATTGTTAACATATGTTGTTATTATTTCATTTTTATTTAAATGTACTGATATTATGTTGCCTACTATTTTGTAATCGTTTATAATGAATGCTACATTGAATGTGGATTACAAGTCTTGTAATATCAGCCTACTATTTATTTTCTAGAGGAAATCATCCGGGATTAATGTTTATGAATAAATATTATTTATATATATATATCACTATCGTATTCGATACTTTGAGTAACCAACTAAACCTTTCATCATACACAATTTAGTTCAAAGCCAATGAATAGTTGCAAAAAAAGTATGATAATTTCACAATATTTAATCAAAACACCCATGAAATATAATTAAATAACACAGATAATTACAAAGTAGTGATTATTTGTGTAGATCAATGATCACTTGAATAAATTAAGATGAAAATTAATTACTATGCAATAATCTTTTTTTTTACATTTTATATTACCTATACAACATTATACATGAACTGTAATCGATTCATTTTTAAGTTGTAATAAAGTTGACAATTATTATAAATTCTCAGTATAGTGGTTGTGAAGATTGTTAAGTTTTGATTGAGATCATGAACCGATTGATGTTAGACCACCATTGAATACCTGGAACTAGTGGATTCATTTTCTTATTTTTTGTGCCTACATTAAAATTAATAATAATAATCATTACTATTATTACTATTATTATTATTATTAGGTAATAATTAATGTTATCGATTATAACATTAAAATATTATACTACTTTAAAAGAACTACCGATATAATACTAAACAACAGATTTAAAATGTTTATTTTTTTATTTTATTCTATCATATAGTAATTGCATTATTTATGAATAGTTTATATCCAAATTAGAAAATTATATACCTTGAATAATTTAATATATAAATGATTTAATTATATCATCTTTTACTGATGAACATAAAATAGTAACAGTATATATGTAAGGATATACATAATTATTTAATTATATAAAGAAAATTATCCCTAGTTATTGTTCTTAAAATATTGATTGAATCATATAAACAATGATAATTATATTACCAATTTAAGTTACATAGGAGGAAATACTTGTTAGAAATAGATTTTACGAAACCAGTATATATAATGTAGTTCTTTTTGTTCACTTAAGATTTTGAAAGTCTTCATTATAAGCTTATCGTGCTTAACATCTACTTAGTATATAAATACGTTGTTTTTTTCAATCAAATGTTTCAAGAAATATGAAGTCTCTTGAAAGGACTTCTAAAAAGCCTTTGGCTTGAACAAACAATAATTTTTACAAGGACTACTGATAGACACTAAATGAATAATAGACATAAAAAATACCGACAAAGCCCCCATGAAACATTTTCCAATCTCAATAAAACAATCATTCAGATGGGCAAAAATGGGTAGTGCCTAGCAGTAGAATACAGGACACACGTTTCGTTCTATTTGTGACACTTTAGCTGGATATACCTCCATCTCGGAGTTGATGTTCACAAGCAACTGGCTATAAGAACTCGGTAGCTAAGTAGATAACGCGATGGCGTTTAAGGTGGACAGTACTAGGTTGGAGTCCCAGAGTGAACATCAACTACGAAATGTAGATACGTCCAGTTGACGAGTCCCAAATAGGACGAAATGGAGCGCGTCCTGTATTCCACTGCTAGCCACTATCCATCTTTGTTTATAATGCTTGTGACTTAAGGCAATATCAAGGCAATAGGCACAGTATGCACATATGCTTATAAGAGACTGATCAATCACAGTCCTAAACATCAATGAGAAGATTCATTTAAACAATACCATGTGAATCATTCGGATAGATTATATTAGTTATTTGGAAATTATTGATCAGTGAATAAAAAGCTGCTTGAATTTACAAAATTATGCACAACATTTCATTATACACGAAATTATAACATTGCTTAGCATACGTATATTTCATTCATTAATAAAAAATTACTGAATTGTTGGGGAGAAACATATGCTTGTTCAAAAACAAGAACAGGTAGAATAATTTCATATTATAAATGTGACTACTTATAAGTAACACCAATTATTCTCAGAATATTTCTCAAAGCACTACTACACTTCTGAATGTTTGATGACCCTAAATAACTTGGTTGATTCATAGAAGTCGAAAATACTTTGATTCACAGTTATCTACTAACTTGATTTGATTTCTTTTTTTACACTGTTAGTTTTGTTTTATAGCTAAATATTTATTTATCCATAGATAACAAATTTAATTATTTTCTGATATATGTTAAATTCAGAGTTTATTTGTAAAGTAATTTCTTCATGTTTAGTGGAAATTTCTTTCGATAACTGAAATTTTTCCGATGGAGGACATTTACAAGTGAGCGGTTATCAGACTATTTCATACGTAATAATATGATTTCTTAAAATTTTCAACTGTGGTTATTCCTGTATAGTATGCTACTTATGTTTGTAGATATCAGTAGCATGTCACACAAATCAAGGGTGAAATACCTGCCAGCAGAAGATTGAAAAGATTAAATTGAAGAGAACCGAAAAGAAAACAGAGAGGAATTGTAATTATGATAGAACTGAAAGGACCCTGAAGCATGTAAAGGATGACTGAAGGAAGATGTGCAAATGAAGTATTTAATGTGTAGTTTTCATATTTTATGAAAGTACTCTGTAATTTTCACTTGAGCAACAAATTGATTGCGCTCATTTGAGTTTTTTTACCACAACATCACAGCTATCAATTCGGTTATGTTGTTTTCATATGAACTGACGTCACGGAATCGATGAGATTACGTTTAAACTATTGACGGTTGCTATGTTCATATTTTTCTGTTAAATTGAGATTTTATGTGAAAATAACATTCTTCATTTGTATATTTATCTATATATGATTTAATGCATTTATATACGTATAATATTTAATATACCTTACTTTTTAGCAAGAATTCAGTTCTTCCACTCTTTCAGAACTAGTAGAACTTCAACTCGAACTGACAAGTAGCATTCTACACTATATCGAACAAATAATTTTACATAACCTAACTGAATATACTATCAAGAAAATACTTTATTTATAATTATTGGAGTGAATCAACCGTAATATTCTGATGCCACTTGTGTCACAACAGTCATGCTCAAGAATGGGACTTGAAAAAAAATTTAAAGATTGTCCAGCTAATAAACACTGGTATATTATCTAACCTTTTATTTCATACCAGTGTTCTGTTGGTTAAACTTATCAAGTTCATTGGGCAAAAGTACATAGTCGACTGTGAGCGACTCTTCAAATGTTCCTAACTAATGTTTTGCTCTTTCAGCCAACAACAGATTATGGTCAGGATATATATATATTAACATTTAGGATTTGGATATAGAGTTCGTGATTAATCGTTAGTGCTTAAGACTAGGATATGGAGTTTGGTACTTAAGATTAAAGTTTAGATTTAGGTTGTATATAGACTGACTGTAAAATCTAGTCCAAACAGTAAGCCTTGACACTAAAACCTATATCTTCGTCCTAACTCTAATCGTAAATAATAATTCCACAATGAGGCATCTTTAACTTTTAAAAAATAGCACAGAAACAGCATTCATTACGAATGACTAGAAATTAGGAATAACTAGACAATTATTTCATCATGACTTGTGCCTTATAGACAGTGTTCACTCATTACACTTGAGTAAAAAACTTGAG